GTTTAGTGTCTTTGCATCAACATCCAATCCAGTTACATATGCAAATGACCATGTTCGGAGACAGAGTCGTAAGCTTTCCATTGGCTCTTTGACCCTCGAGAGGTGTGACCTCTACTTCAGTGACCCGCCGGGCTTTTCTGATCCAGCTGCATGCTCTAATGCATTAATACTGTAGGAAAGATATTTTCTGTGGCCACGAAAATATCCTTTCTTAGAGCTGATATGAACTTACACTGAATGTTCGCTGGACGAACAGATTAGTTGATGGCAATTTAATTAGACACAGAATAAATGTCTGACTTCATTTTTTTTTTTTATGTTGGAATCGAAACTAGGAATCGGTAAGAATCGGACTCGATCATTCAAACCCTACTCTGGACAGCAGAGCAGACTCACCAAGCTCTATGCAGGTGATGCCGAGTGACCACACATCAACCTTCCCGTCATACTGGCCTTCATCCATGGCGAGGATGACCTCTGGAGCCATCCTGCAAACACAGCACAACTCACTCATACCTGCCCATTAGACACATCTAACGCCAGAGTAAACCACTTAATTAAATTAAGAGTGTATTTCTGCCAAATGTGCTGTTGTAAGGAATGGGAAGTGTTTTTGAGCTGACTTGCTACAGCAATGTTTTTAAACTTTTAAAGGCACAATATGTAAAAATGTTTTATTAAAATATCCAAAAACCACTAGAACAGTGTTATATATTTTGCTGACTTGTGTACTTACATTATCCCAAATGTTTTGAAGAATGTTTAAATCCAGAGAAATAATTATGTTGGAATCGAAACTAGGAATCGGTAAGAATCGGACTCGATCATTCAAACCCTACTCTGGACAGCAGAGCAGACTCACCAAGCTCTATGCAGGTGATGCCGAGTGACCACACATCAACCTTCCCGTCATACTGGCCTTCATCCATGGCGAGGATGACCTCTGGAGCCATCCTGCAAACACAGCACAACTCACTCATACCTGCCCATTAGACACATCTAACGCCAGAGTAAACCACTTAATTAAATTAAGAGTGTATTTCTGCCAAATGTGCTGTTGTAAGGAATGGGAAGTGTTTTGTACCAGTAAGGTGTGCCCACAAAGGAGTTGGCAGGAGCAACAATGGAGGCGGAGCCGAAGTCTCCCAGTTTGACCTGGCCAGGCTCTGTCAGTAAGATGTTCCCTGCTTTCACATCTCTATAGAGGAAGAAACATATCTAGTGTATTGTTGTAACTGAAGGCGACAGCAGAGACATTTTGAGCTGGTACCTTGACTGTTTTAGGCCTGTCTTTGACAGCTGACTCCCCAATATTAATATTCTGTGCACTGGTTAGTTCACAGCAACTTTTTCGTTAAGGGACACCATTTGCCACCTAAAACTGATTTCCTGGGGCATTCGCGCCATTCTGAGCACTGTTTTATAACCTTATTAGATTTATAAATCATCTTTTATTTCAAGTTAATAAATCAACAATGAATAACTACAATCATAAGTTACCAGTCATATGAAATAAGCAAAGCACCAACAAAATTCATTTTTACACTGCAGAAGTGGCACAGAAGCTGCATTTAAAGAAGCATTTGGATGTATTGCAACACTGCAATTGAAACTGTATAAATAATGCTACGAGATACAATATTTTGAATGTTGTAAAACGTAATGCTTTTTAAAAAAATTAAATATGAACCTAAACCACTCATAGGTGCCTTCACCAGTGAGTCATTGAATAATTAACTCAACCAATTCTTCAAGAAGCAAGTGACTGTCTTTATAACTAACTCATTGAATCACTGATTCATTCATTAAGACAGATTCATTCAGTAACAAAACACATCTGTGTTTTATTCAGCTCTGTTGCGACTTTGTCTGGAACTGTTTAGTTTGCCAATGTGAGTAAAAATAGACAATAGTGTGTCTAAAATGTAAATCGCACTGTTAACGTCTTGTTTTTAAGAACCGTTGTATAAAGTCAATATTACATTTAGAATCCTGCTGATATTCGGGAAAAAAGCACGCTTGTATGATACATCGCTTGCTCCATCATGTCAGCTTCCACATTGCTGAAGCCACAGTTAAAATATTACTGAACACAATATGTATCTCACACACCATGCTTTTGTTAAAACCAAGAATCGAGCGGCTCTGTACCTGTGAATCATGTTGTGCGAGTGGAGGTATACTAAGCCCTGCAATGCACCATGGGTAATTGCTGCAATCTCCACTTCCTGTAATGGTTTCTTGTGCACTGAGGGGAAAGAGGAAGAAAACAACGGGATCCTGTTTTTTGTTTCTGCATCATTTTACACTTCTGCATCCGACGAATGGCTCTGAGCATCCTCGTGCTTTTAGAAACAATTCACTCACCTTCCAGCAGATCCGAGGCCGAGCCCAGACAGTACTCCATCACCAGCTGCAGGAAAGCAGACACAGAAAAGAGGAAGGTGGAGAGAAAGAAAAGGTATAAGTGCTGTTAGCAAGTGACAGGTGGTGCGTTTGGGGCCGCTACTGTAGTAAATGTAAACAGTGTTAGCAGCTCAGTGCATTCTCTCCCACACACAGAAGCACTCACCCATGCTGTGTGTTCACGCAGGTAGCAGCCTCTGTACTCCACAGTGTTGGGGTGCCGCAGCTTTTGAAGGAACTTCACCTCTTTCACGATATCCTGCCATTTCTGCAGCAGGAACGAGAGAACAATGGAACAATCACGGGACTACTGAGCGTATTGACAGTAGACTTCCTTGGCTATGTTGCCTTCTCCTGTTGCCATCTCTCTTACTCTCTCCTTTCCCTCATATTTTTACTTTGTCTAGATAATTTACTTATATTTTAGTAGCGGTTTTTATTGTGCATTTATGTTTCTGTAATTTTTTCTTTTTTCATATGATGTGTACATGTGTAATGATGCTCTTTCTTTGTTTTTAGGTTGACCTTTTAACATTCGGTCAAGGGTCTACAGATGAAAAACAGCATTTTTGGCTAATTCTGGCACATTTACAGTTATGTTTATTAATGTGCATTGCCCCTGTAAACAAATAAACTTAAACTTAGCCAGAGAGACGCTGCATGATTTGCATAATTTGAATACAATGCTGGGGAAAACAACAGAACTTGGTAAGATGCCGGTAAACATAAGAAACGGTATTCTATGAGCGCTTATGAACTGAGCTGCTTTCCTGTCTCAAGCCTACATAGGCAGCATCCTAACTATAACCTCACAAAAAAAACGGCTCGAGATGACTCAACTCAGAACGGAGTGCTCTTTTTCATTGGTCTTGGTTCTGGAAGTGTTTTTCCATAGAAGTCTTTGTTTAAGAGTTATAAGCCGTGATCAAAAAACATGAGAGTGACAAGATTACAAACTTTGATTTGAAGCAAAAAATGATTCTAAAATTGGACAAAAGTACAAGACTGAGCACTTCACCCAGCGTTAATGAGGGAAAGAACTACAATCCCATTAATGGCCTCATCAAATTAAACATGACAGAGAAATATAAACCTATTCATTTTATGTTGGTTGTATGTATATTTACTAGAGGTGTAACGGTACACGTATTCATACTGAAGATTGTCGGTACGTGTCTTTGTTCGGTACGCATGTGTACAGAACAAATAAATCAATTTTTTCAAAAAATTCAGACAGTAAATGGCATTTTGGTGCTCTTTGATGTGGCGAGACAGATTGCTGTATAAACGCCTCAGTTTTCATCTTTACTACTAGTTATAACACAAAATATACATGAATGAACATCTCATGTGATCGCTCTATCAGTGTTTCAATTACAGAAAGACGTGTCATTAAAACAGCTTGTAAACAAAATGTCACGCAGCATTTCATTTCCCTCAGGCAAGTCATCAGTGTCCACAGCTCGTTATTTGCTAGAGAAATGAAGTCTAGAGAAGAGCATTTTGAGAAATATTAGACTATATACTTCATTATATTTTACTTTACCTGTTAGTGGTGTCTTAAATATTTAATGAACATTTAAATAAGTCTTTTATGAAACAAGTTATTACAGCAAGTGTGTAAATGATTATATTTCAACAACAAACAGAAATTGTATAATTTAAAAAATCTGCATTATGTGCAATTTACATGTTTGCATACAAATTTTAATTTGAGTGTTGATTATTATGGTTAAAAATAAATAGCAATTGAATTTAGGTTTGGGTTCTGTTGTTAACTGCAACCTATAGTAAAGTAAAAGGGCTCCATATAGTTTAGAGCAGAAGCAAATGTCACGCAGCATTTCATTTCCCTCAGGCAAGTCATCAGTGTCCACAGCTCGGTATTTGCTAGAGAAATGAAGTCTAGAGAAGAGCATTTTGAGAAATATTAGACTATATACTTCATTATATTTTACTTTACCTGTTACTTAAATATTTAATGAACAATTAAATAAGTATTTTATGAAACAAGTTATGACAGCAAGTGTGTAAATTATATTTCAACAACAAACAGAAATTGTATAACAAATCTGCATTATGTGCAATTTACATGTTTGCATACAAATTTTAATTTGAGTGTTGATTATTATGGTTAAAAATAAATAGCAATTGAATTTAGGTTTGGGTTCTGTTGTTAACTGCAACCTATAGTAAAGTAAAAGGGCTCCATATAGTTTAGAGCAGAAGCTGAGGTAGATTTTTATCCCTAAGAATTTTAATTGTAATAGAATTTATTTAAAGAAAATGCAATTTGTTTAGTAAACCATTGTTTAAGTTAAAACACACACACACACACATACATATGTATACACACACACATATATATATATATTAGAGTGTAGGAAGACTGACTCATTGGCAGTGATTTGTGTGAGCTGGCGGAGCTACAGAGCTCTTCTGGTGTGATTTGCTTGTTTAGATTCTCTGATTGGTGGAGATTTCTCTGCAGAATCATGGGTAACAGTTTTTCACCAGGAATTCCATTGTTAACCATGATTAAGTTAGCACTTAAAAATAAGTTCTGTATGGAGAAAATAAATGGGATTTTTACCTCAGGAACTCGACTGATGCACTCTATTTCAATAGAGCTCGATGTTAGCAAGAAGCCAAGTTAACAATGCAACACTTTTTATTTTATAAATATTTAGTATATCTATTACCAGACGGAACTATTTTGCTGATATTTCTTGTTTTTGGCCAAATTATGTAGCCCTACAAACAAGCACAACAAACCAGTTGTTCTTTTTGACTTAATTGCATTTTAAAATTTGAACAGAAAAATCGCGATTGCATTTTCCCCCCAAATCATGCAGCGCTACTTTCCAGTGTGCTTGTGTTTCCTCAAACAGGGTATACTTTGAAATGCGTTTGCACTCAAACTGAAAGCAGTATAATATTCTGCCAACATTTTCAAACATCCTTGGTGTCAGAAGTCTGCCTATGATACCTAAAAAAATGCTTTCCAGGTAGGCAGCTCAATAGGTTTTGGAAGGGAGCCATCATCTTGCTCTTACATAAAGCCACCAGCATGATGTTCAAGTTTTCTTGAAGACCGATTCTAGCAGAGTCACACTGCTTTGTTTGACTAAAGATGTAGGAGCATTGTGTTGGTGTGTTTGTGTTCACCTCATTAGACTGCTTGCCACTGTAGGACATCTTCTTGATGGCCACCACCTCATTGGTGCAGATGTCATGGGCCTGTAAGAAGCGTGCAAACACACGTGAGGCACAGACTCTGCTCACTGAGATGTGCTGCACTTCTGAACGTCTAAAGGCCACTCACAAAGTAGACGGCTCCGAAGCTGCCATGGCCGATCTCCCGCAGGTCTGTGAAGAGTTTCTCAGGATCCTCCTTGTAAAAAAGTTCTGCCACCTCTGGGTCCTTGAGACTCCCAGCCCGCGCACTCGACGGCATGGCCAGCGCCTTCACACACACACACACACACAACAGGGAGTTTGCACATTAACATCCGAGGAAACAGGAATGGAGTGAACACAGCTATAAATATGTGACCCTGGACTACAAACCCAGTCATAAGGGTCAATTTTTTTTTTTAATTGAGATTTATACATCATCTGAAAGCTGAATAAATAAGCTTTCCATTGATGTGTGGTTTGTTAGGATATGGCAATATTGGCTGAGATTAGGGATGTCAACGATTAATCGATGATTGATTAATTGTCGATAAGAGATGCAATCGATTAAAGCTATCGATGGTCGATTAAGCCATTTAATTTTGGGCTGCATGCGGCTCATGCGCAAAACACATGCGAGCGGCTGTGAGTGACGGTTACGGTATAAATGCATCATCATTCATTCATAATGTACAAATTAAGCTTTTAATGTGATTTAAACTTTAAGAGTACATTAAAATAGAAACAACACAAAGTTCTTCAACATGGAAAGCAATAGAAATGTAGTAACAGTCATTTCCCCAGATAATTCTTTCATATCGAGGTCTGCGCTTTGCAGGGCTGCGGGACACAGGACAGATAGGCTATTCGTTCCTACAACTTGTTAATTTGTGGCCACTGTCCATGTGCCATTAATTTTGTTCCTTAAATAACCCATGATTTAACTAAAATGAGGGAACAAATTAATAAATCGAACAAATTCTTAATTCATGGCCATAAAATCTTTCATTTCCCTTAGATGCGAAAACAGTGATAAAAAGTGAATGACAATAAAATAAACCTGCAAAATTAGAGGGTTAGACGGTGACGAGCACCACGAAACCATTTAAAGAGGCGCGTTCAGCGGTCTCCGTGTCGGGATAGGAAACAGTCAACAAAGTAAAATGATCTCAAACGAGCTCTCTTCATTTTATCAAATGATCATAATCACATCTATTCATTTTACAATCCTGCTACTAGCATTTTATTCAGACTAAATCCACTTTAAATCGGGTGAGAAAGCCGGGGGGTTTTTTTTAAAGTAACTTTTGCACATCCTGTCATGCATGGACGCATTTTGCAGCATTAAGATTAACGATTAATCGATTAATTGATCGTTAATTTAAACGACGATCGATCATGGAAATGATCGAAAATTGACATCCATAGTCAGAACCTTCAGAGGTACATTCATGTAATTCATTAATTAATATATTCATTTGTATAATTCCCTTATCACTCTTTTTCATTATAGAAATCTGCAGCAAAATGCATATTGAGTCTCATGCTCCGTATCCTCACTGTATTACACTGTATGAGCCACTAAAGCCTGATGTATCAAATATGATACAAAACAAAACATTTCCACACTTCAAGAGTTTCCTTTATATTTTGTATAAAGGTTCAATAAACTGTTCCATTTAAAAGAAAATAGATGTTCCTATGTCAGGCCTGACAGGGTTAAATAATAATACATGGTGTTACACAATCATTTGATGGAGCCTGATGAATATATGCGACACAGCCCATAATAACAATAACGATCAGAAGCAGCATTCGCAGCACAGAAAGCGGAGCTCGGTTAGAGGAGCTGTGGGCTCGGTCTTACCGTGGTGTGCGGGATCCACTGCGGCTAGCTCGAGACAGCTAGCCTAGCACCGGCCTGCTGAGGAGAATCCCGCCAATCCTTCCCGCCTCACTTCACAAACACGACCGACTCAAACCGCGAGCCATAGACTTCTAACGCCACGATCGCGATCACTGCCGTTCATGTGTGTGTGAATGTGTAATACCGCCGTGATCCGTTAACGGACTCGATCAGCTGACTGTCAGCGAGCTCTTTAAACCACAGTCCGGTTTTCCGCTTCCGCCGCGAGTGTGGGCTTCGTTTCTGCTCATGCCGTCGGTGTCAGGCGTGCAGTTCGTCTCTTTCTGTCATCGACAGCTCCATCCCTGTTTTTCTTTCCTCTCTCATTCGCTTTTTGTTCAGGACTTCATGATGGCGGAGCGGGGCGGGAGCCGACCGGAAACCGGAAGTGCGGGTGAAGCGCAAATTAAGGGTTTCTAATCGTCTGTAAATACGCGTTTCATTACAGCTAGTGGTGGAAATTTTGATTCTTTCAAGAGATTCGTTCATTTTCAGTTCGTTCACCAAAATGATTTGTTCACTGATTCGTTCAATGACCATTTCTTCATATGACATAAATACGCCAGCAGGTGGCGAAAAAGAGTGTCTTATGTGTTATGTCTTAAAGGCATAGTTCACCCAAAAATGAAAATTCTGTCATTAATTACTCACCCTCATGTCGTTCCAAACCTGTAAGACCTTCGTTCATCTTCTGAGCACAAATTAAGATATTTTAGATGAAATCCGAGAGCTCTCTGACCCTCCATAGACAGCAACACAACTGAAATGTTTCCAGACCCAGAAACGTAGTAAATCAACAATTTTTCTCCCCCGAGTTACGTCTTCCGCCACTTTAGAGAGTATGACAATGCATACGCACGCTTTCCCCTAAGCCTAAACAACGCTGATTACGCTGATTACGCTCCTTGGGTACTCTCCAAAATGGCGGAAGACGTAACTCAGCGTACGCTCTTCTGTGTCAGCCGCGCTGCACGGATGCGCTGTTTTCGTTCAAATCAAAGTGTAAATACATGCAGAAAACGTATCCTTGTGTCGCGGCTGACACAGAAGAGCGTACGCTGTTTGATTCAGCGGATATTCTCTAAAATGGCGCTATGGTGATGCGGAGAGACACGGAAGAGACGAATTGTTGAATAAAGTCATTAATTTCGTTTTCTTCGCATACAAAAAGTATTCTGGTCGCTTCATAACGTTACGGTTGAACCACTGATGGCAGATGGACTATTCTGACGATATCTTTCATACTTTTCTGGACCGTGACAGTGTAAGTTACTTGGCAGTCTATGGGACAGTCACAAGCCTCCCGGTTTTCATCCAAAATATCTTAAACTGTGTTCCGAAGACGAACGAAGCTTTCAGGGGTTTGTAACGACATGGAGGTAAGTGATTAATGACAACGTTTTCATTTTGGGGTGGAGTATCCCTTTAAGTAACATTTCAGTGAAAATTACAGTAATATTTCTTAGGTGCGGATATGGTTTTGATTGAAATACTAATTGAAAACAAATTACTCTGCTAATTTAATTTAATTTGGTAATTATAATTTATTATATTATTAATTTATTAAGTTTAACATGAATAATGTCACAATTTATTATTTTGATATTATAATTTATTATTAATTTTATATTACTAATTAAATTAATCTATTTAATTTTTAGGTGAGGATGTGGTTTTGACTTGCATACCTCATGAAAACAATTTAAGATGCTAATTCAACTTATATTTATAAATATATATTATTAAGTTATGATTAATGACTATGATTATGACACTGCTCCGGGTGTGTGTTCACGGTGTGTGTGTGTTCACGGTGTGTGTGTGTTCACTGCTGTGTGTGTGCACTTTGGATGGGTTAAATGCAGAGCACTAATTCCAAGTATGGGTCACCAAACTTGGCCACATGTCATGTCACACTTTTTTTTAAAATTAAGATTAATAATTTTAATAATAAAATTTATTATTTTAATAATAGAATACTATAACTTATTTATTTATATTGTTATGAAAGCAGATTTCTTTGCTAATGTAATTAATTTTATATGCACTGTCTGAGTAAGCATTATTTTACTGTTTAGATTTGGACGTGTGTTTGTCTGGAAATACACACTGGCCTGAAGTCTAAGTCTCCTAGCTTTGAGACCCTGCATACTTTAGTGTACTGTACTTGGTGCATACTAAGTTTGGGATTAGAAATAAGTTTCTTATTCTCTCTTCTCTATACGGCAGTAACATATAGAGACCTCGGCTTGTAACTATACTCTAATTACTATTTTGAAAATTATAACGCATTAAATTACTCAGTTACTAAAAAAGTTATCAAATTACAGTAACGTATTACTAAGTAATGCGTTACTGCCCAACACTGCAAGTAACTCGAGTTACATAATCAGATTACTTTTTTAAAGTAACTAGTAAAGTAGCGCATTACTTTTTAATTTAGAAGGAAACATCTGAGTTACTTTGCTTCCATGTGTTGAGTGACAGCTCTGGTGTTGCCATGGTGACAGAAATCAGGAGTAAGTGCAGAGCGTTGTGTGTGAACATGATCTTACTGTAGTTCTAGACTAAATATCAACGTGTGTTTACTCATCTCACTGCACACAAACACATTCAGTGTTCCTCACAATCAATAAAAACTGTCAAATGCAAACTCAGAATATTATACAAACCTGCAATAATTAAATATGTTAAATAAGACAAATATCATTTATGTATTTTATCCCATTTTATTAACCAGTGTCAAGTCAAGTCAAGTCACCTTTATTTATACAGCGCTTTAACAATACAGATTGTGTCAAAGCAGCTTTACAGTATCAAACAGGAAAACAGTGTGTCTGTGCAAAAGGACAATAAACACTCAATCACCGTGTCTTTGCTGCTGACCTTCAATGATCCAATTCAAGCATACTAATAAGCAAAAAAGACACATTTGTGTTTCATTTTTGTTTTTGCTGAATAGTGTTGAACTTTCTTCTCCTGCATCATATTCTTCATGTGATTAGTTTGAGCGGCGCCCTCTACTGTACAGACGTGAATTTACACTTCCTTCAGCCTGAGGCTCTTTCATTCCATTTCTTTGCTAATGTAATTAATTTTATATGCACTGTCTGAGTAAGCATTATTTTACTGTTTAGATTTGGACGTGTGTTTGTCTGGAAATACACACTGGCCTGAAGTCTAAGTCTCCTAGCTTTGAGACCCTGCATACTTTAGTGTACTGTACTTGGTGCATACTAAGTTTGGGATTAGAAATAAGTTTCTTATTCTCTCTTCTCTATACGGCAGTAACATATAGAGACCTCGGCTTGTAACTATACTCTAATTACTATTTTGAAAATTATAACGCATTAAATTACTCAGTTACTAAAAAAGTTATCAAATTACAGTAACGTATTACTAAGTAATGCGTTACTGCCCAACACTGCAAGTAACTCGAGTTACATAATCAGATTACTTTTTTAAAGTAACT